TCATCTCCCTTACCCAGACAGAGGAGTTCTTTGACCTGATAGCCAGTTCCCAGAGCCGCAGACTGGACGACCAGAGAGCCAGTATAGGGGACCGTCTGGGCATCAGGATAGCACAGAACAATGTGGGACACTTGTGCGAGTCATGTAGTCCACAGGAACCTAGTGACGAGTTTTTCAACATGCTCGTTAAGTATCAGGTAACACAATAGCAACTGAAATTCAATATCAGATGCGAGGCGTACAAATGTGCTTTAGACTTACGGTCCTCAGAGTTCCTCTGTTTGCATGTTGTAAACTTTCTCACCTCTGTCCCCCTCTAGTCCTCCAGAATCAATGATCAGAGGTGCTCTTTGCCACCAGCACCAGACCCAGATGAAGACTTCTTCTGCCTAATTCAGAGAGTGCAATCCAAACGTATGGATGAGCAACGGGTTTCTTTTCCTTCTGATGAAAAGGATGAAACAGACTTAAATTATAAGTCCAAAACCTCTGAGGGCTCAAGCTAGAGACTGTGGCACTTCTTATACGACTTCCACAAAGTCTTCTGCAAACTTTGACTCTCTGGCTGCACATTTTGCGAGATCTTCAGAGGCTGGAATTAGGGAGGAGTAATATAGGTTTATTTTAATTAGTAGGATTATATCATGTTGAAGTTACCCTGAGGTCAATCCAAACCCAACAGATGTGATTCAGAGGGAATGGAAACACTCACCTGTTTGTATGTTCCAACAATGGTTCTTTCACAAAAGTGTTTGTGCAGATTTCAAGCAAAGCAACACCATGGAAAATGATTAACATGATGCTTTCCAAGGATAATATTACTAACTACTGTCACACAACACAGTATAGATCAGTGTGACAAACAATGGCAGCACATAATCTCCAAGCAGGTGCGTGTTCATTTAACTCAAGTGGAAAGTGGGTTTCAGCACACACTGAATATGAATTAACTGATTCCCAACAGATGGGAGCAACTGTATTTGGCTTGACACTGAGGTTACATAGCTCACGGATCAGTTCATTAGGCTGTCTAATTCTGCTGATAAGTAATATAAGTAATACCAATAGTAATAGACTTCTTTCAGAAGATTTAAGAAAAGCTAAATCCATCTTTAGCATTAAAAAGTGCATATTGTTAGTCTGTGAAAAGTGGATAGACTCGTTTTGAGGTGCACTGTTTAACATGATGGTTTTTGTTTAATTGGAATAAAAGTGATGTTTTAGTATGATTTTAGTATGTCTTTAATATTATTTTTCAGTGGGGATGATAGTATGTTCTTTGATCTAATTTTTGTTTTTTTTTGCAAAATGTCATGAATATGGGATCTCATTCAAAAACACTTATAGGGATGGTTCACCCTAAAAATGAAACTTTTGTCACCTTGTTTTTGGCACCTTAGTCAAGTTGTTCCAAACCTGTATGACACAACAAGATTGGTTCAAACAATTTGAGGTGGGACTATTTTCGTTTAAGACTTGTTTTTGTACTTGATTTTGTACGGAGCCACATGACATGCAGAAAAAAAAAAAGATTTTGACATTAATTTGTGGCCACATTTTATTAATTTGTTAACCTTGTTTTATTTAAATTGTTCTTGTGATTTCTTAATTTTTGGCCACATTGTACTAATTCATTCCCCCTGTTTAATTTACTATGTCTAAATTATGGCAGCGATTTAACTAAAACGAGGGAACAAAGTAGCCTACAATCTAGTACAATTTGGCCACAATTTATGTAAAATTAGGGAAAGAAGGAAGTCATGAATGATCAGTGCTGGGTAGTAACTAATTAGATGACTGGATAACATAATCATATTCCAAAAATTAAGTACTTGTAATTAGATTATACTACATTGTAAAGTGCTCATTAAATTTTCTGTCTGAAACATCCTACTGCCTATATACTTTCAGAAAGTCTTCCAGGTTTATGTAACTACTCAGGTGACTACTTACATGGAAAATGGAGAGGCCACACAATTAGTTTAATCTGACATTTTGATTTATTTAATTATTAGCTTTTCATCACCTCAGGAACCCAAGTTTGGGCAACTTTGGCATAATGGCTAAATGCACTATGATGTGGATAACAAAGGATGGAAAATATTTTGTTACAACTTAGGTGAAATGTAATCTAAAAGTAATCAAACAGTCAGGATACAATATGTGTATCAGTGATTACATTACTATCTACAATTATGTCATTTGTAATCATTAATGGACTACAATTTGTAAGTAACCCAGTACTGTGAAAGATGTCATGTAAACAAATTCTTTATTTGTGGCTTTTTTTTGCCATGTGCCTGGCTCCTTATTTGTTTATTTATTTACTAATTTATTCATGCAAATATTAAGTTCTGTATAATGACATAAAAACTCCTCACCTTAGAGGATTTGTCAATGTCGTTATTTTTCACTTGATTAAAGATTTACTTAAAACAATTACATACAAAAACCTAAGTGTTTTGTTTACAATAAAATAAAATAAGATCTCTAGCTACCTGTGCTAGATGGTTAGGCTACGTTTTATCAAATTAGATAGCTTATATTTTTTGTCAAACACACAGAAAAAAAGTTATTTTCTCTAACCTACCTGATTATATATATATATATATATATATATAGCTTACTAGAGCTGATGTGAGCTGATAGCATGAATTAATCAAAAGTCTGTGTCTATTTAGCATGCACAATTACATGGTAAATTAGATACTTCAAGGTGTCTCTATGGTGATTCTCAAGTAGGGTGCTGTAATGGCAAAGCGGAGGGTCTCAAGCCTGTCAGCAAGAGGGAAGATTCTCCTCAGGCAGCGTCAACAAGTGCTTGTGCTTGTGTGGGAGATATGTAGTTGCATACAAAATACTTTGTCCATGGATGATCATAGAACACACTTCTGACAGGCTTTCCGTCTTCAAATTGATCCTATATATAATGAAGCTCAATATTGTAGGTCATCACCACATGTATGACATTTGTTCAGGCAGGACACAATTGGTGAAGGTTGTAAACATGAGTTTCAGCACATCAACACTTTGGCTGTCACCAAGGCAACAAGCTATGCACTTTATATTTACTTTATGTGACTCATCTTAGGAAATGTGGGTAATGGAGAGCGAGGGGGAGCGAAGGAGTCAAACAGTCAAATTCTTGCATGTGCCCAAACACGCAATTCACTGAGGAATGCAAACACGCAGGTTTAGGTTCATGTGCATACCTCTAGATATTCATCTCTGAAACTCTTCCGTCTGAGACAGCGTGTAAAGATGTAAGATGTTCCTTACAGTATGCAAGGAAGATTAAGAAAGTGTATCTAAAGTAGTTAACTTAATTCATTTCAGTTCATAACTATTATTTAAACTGGTATCATAGCAAGTATCTCAGCTATCTAGTAAACCATAATATTGGTAAAATGGAGCTCATACTCGAGGAGGAAAAAACACCTCTGTTTCATTCAGAGGCCCAAACTGAGAAGAAATATGCAATTTGGTGCAGTTTCTGATGTTTATATGGCCAGAAAGTAAGATGAAATTCTGTTAATTTATAATGTAACTCAATAAAATCTTTATAATAGCATAGCAGACTTTTTAAAATGCATATAAATATCAGTTATCACTCTATATACCAATAAAATGTCTTAGTACATTTAGTAAAGCTCTGTAGTTTTTATTTTGGGTGCAAAACATAATGCAATGCAATACTATGATGACTGAGAGACATACAAATAAACGTTGCTCAAAAGCCAACTGAAAAGTTGCTTCAGTTTCATCTTGAAATATTACTAACAATATAAGAGTTATTTTCATGTACTAAAAATGATAAAAATCAGAAATTATTTCACAGGAAAAAGACACATGTACCACAACCTTTTTTTTTGATCAAGTATAAATATAGCAGGTTGCTACTTTTTACAGTTCAAGCTTAGTTTGTTTTTAATGTTTTTTCTCCATATCGATACTGCATTAGTCCTTAAAAATGCTGTGGTCTGTTATTATACTGATACCTCAAGCAAATTCAGCCTTTTGTTATGGTTCTGTTTGGACACTGTTCCTTTATTCAGTGGCTGAATGTGCCTTTAGCTGTTTGATACCCGTGAGGATTGAGATGTAAATTCTCAAGCAGTTTTATTTGCATCAAAAGAAGCAAACAGCTGATTATTTAGAGCTCAGATTTTCCATTCCATGTCCCTCTGAATGGCCCGGAGTATGAACTGCTAACACGTGTGGGATGAATAGAAACACAATTTGCAAGTATTATTTTCTCTCCCTGGATGTTATTCATTTTTTCTCTCTTTGTCATATCATTGAGAAGTCGTTTAGCTCTGTTTGGCTAATAATCAAAACATGTTCTCATGTTCCTTGCTTTGAGGTAAATAAGCAAGAAAGGACTTTTGTCACAATTGTCAGTGATGTACAAAATTATGATGAACATATGGTGAAAGACGTTGTTTACACAAATAGATGCACCGGAATTCTACACTCTGAAATACAAAGTTGCATTTCTGAAACACTCAACTAAGCATTTCATTATGTGCCCTCTAGAAGCTTGCATTCTGCAAGCGAACGGCGCATTATAGTGCCATCCCAAAGAGGCACAAAATCACTTTCACAGACTTTTACATTAACTGTTCCCTCCTGGTGAAATGACCTGCCCAACTCAATCCGAGCAGCTGAGTCCTTAGCCATCTTGCACTCTCTATTCTATTTCTATTCTTACTACTTGTTTTCTTAAAAAAAAAGCCTCTAACACTAGCATTCTCTATTCTTTTTCTATTCTATCTTCTTGTTTTATTTTTATTTATTATAAAAGAAAACCTTGCTACGTGTACTGCGTTAGGCTAACTGAGACTTGCCACAGCACTTACATATTATTGCCCCTTTGTTGGTTTTGATTGCTTCTATTGTCCTCATTTGTAAGACGCCTTGGATAAAAGTGTCTGCTAAACGACTAAATGTAAATTTCATATAACAAAACTGTTCAAACTCTTTGTGTATCTCACAGAGCATGTTAACAGGGCTGATGTACCACAGGCCCGAGGACCCTTTGACATTCTTGGAGAGTTGCCTGCAGAAAACACGAGACCTCGGGGGTCCTGAATGTGTGGCCTGGGACACTTTCATTACACCTGATCGAAAACCTCTACCACCAATCACCCCGGCACAGGGAAAGAAAGCCCCCTGCAAACTCGGTAATTTGAAGGCACATTATCTTAGCAAGCAATAAAATGTCTGGGAAAAAAAAAATAGCTAGTTGGACATGATGGATGTACATTAAAAAGACACTTTGCATTTTAGTTTGCATTGGCTTTTTATTTAATTTTCATTTTATTTATCATTTTACTGACGTAATGTCAAACAGCACAGAAAACATTTTTAAAAAACAATATACACAATTCACATGACAAAGGGAAAAAAGGACTGAAAAAATGAACAGTATGAGTGAAACAATAAAGAAACATTTAACAACAATGAAAACAAGAAAAAGTCAAAAAGTGAGAGGTTTTTAATGATTTCATATAATTCCAAATTTTATTAAATGCTTTAATTTACAAATGTTAATTTTTCTAGGGCAAAGCAATTATTAATTTCCATTAACCACTTCTGAATTGAGATGGTAAGCTCTGATTTTTCACTTTAAAAGAAAACACTTCATAACAATCAGCAATAGTTCTTCCATGAGCTTAATGGCACAGCTACTCTTGAGGTTGGAATTAGAAAGTTACCCAACATGCAGACCTCTGGATCCATTGGGAAAGGACTGTAATGAATCGTACATTAAAGTCTGCATGAAATCAAAATTGACTTTATTTACTTTACTAGCGCACATTGCTAGTCTTGATGTAAACAATGAATCCGTGCAAGTTAATCTGCTGAAAAAAAAAGTTTGTCTTCGTAATCTTTAATCAAAATCTGAACATTTACTTCCGCTCTGGAATGGCATTCCTTTTCTGATGACGTCAGTTTGACGGCTTGGGCAGAATACCCTTAAACACACCCCTCCAACCGTTAGATTGCTGTGAGTGAGAGACAGAGAGGAGGAGCGCAAACATAAAACCATGCCCTCTATTCAATATTCTGTTTCAGCTGGAAATACGTCGCTACACTGAAATAATACTTTAAACAATATTTTTTGTGATACTTTTAATTTTTATGCTTAATGAAAGCATTCAAACTCAAAATGAATTATATTCGAGTTTTTTGATATTGAACTCTCTCTTTAAATCACTAAAACGTCATTTTCTAGATAAAAAGCCAGCAGCTAAGGAACCAAATATGAATCTGAAGGACAGCTGTGAAAATGAAAACTAAAGAGCATTGAAAATAAACTTAGGAAGGTTAAACATGGTTCAAGTGTTGAAAATGACCCGAATATCTCAATAATGAACATCTAACCACATAGATTTGTGTGGGTTTCCATCAAATGCGTGAATTAAGAGTACGTCTGAGGTCATATAAAAGCAATGAATGTAATCTGTTTCCTTCCACAGACAGTGGTCCTGGTCCAGGCCCCGGACCTTACCGTCGATATGACAGGTTGCCACCAATCCAGGCCCAGTTCTCTATAGAAAGTGACTCAGACATGACGGAGTCCTCGGGGCTCATACAGGAATATGATGTCTTTGACCCATCAAAACCACGACCACAAATCATATTCATTATAGGTGAGTGGTCATCACTGTCAGCTGGTCATTTTCAGTCTGTTTCAGTCATTTGATCTTTTTCTGAATTCATCTTGTTCTAAATTCCAACTCTTTGAGCTGGATGAAATGAAATTCAGTAGACCTTGACCTTAATTAATTTGAAATTAGCATTTCCATTGTGCTGTTTCTGTGATGTAAAATGGCATTTGCTATAATATTTTCCAGGTGGACCGGGCAGTGGGAAGGGCACTCAGACAGCTAAACTTGCACATCACTATGATTACGAGCATGTGTCTGTGGGGGAAATTTTGAGGAACCAGTTGCTGCATCATGCCCCCAGTGACAGGAAATGGGAGCTGATTGCTCAGATCATTGCCAATGGAGAACTGGCACCTCAGGTTTGGCAATTTAACCATCAACTGTGTGAATTTCGCAGATGTTGTGTATTTACAGCTGCTCAATTTCTAAACTAACATAAACTACCATTCAAAAGTTTTTTTTTTTTTAAGAAATAAAATATAAAAAAATTTATCATGGTTTCAGATGCACACACACACACACATATAAAAGGAGTAGTTCACCTAAAAATGTACTCACCCATAGGCCATCCAAGATGTAGATCGAGTTTGTTTCTTCATTGTAGCAGATTTTGAGAAATTTAGCATTACATCACTTTCTGACCAATGGATCCTCTGCAGTGAATATAGCAATATTATGGATAGAAGACTCGTATTTTAGCCGGAAGCAACGGTTTGAAGTTAAAGGGATAGTTCACCCATAATTTTTGGAATTATAAATCATGGAAAATAACCCCATGATTTACTCACCCTCAGACCATCCTAGGTGTATATGACTTTCTTCTTTCCGACGAATACAATCGGAGTTATCTTTAAAAGTGTCCTGGCTCTTCCAAGCTTTATAATGACAGTGAATGTGTGGTACTATTCAATAGTTCAATAGAAGTCCAATAAACTGCATCCATCCATCATAAAAATGGCCCACACGCACACAGCGAATCAAAGCATTTGTGTAAGAAAAATATCCATATTTAAACCTTTATAAACCGTAATCTCTAGCTTCCACTGTCGTACATGCATACATGAGAGAGTGCGTTCCAGTGCACTTCCAAGCTCCGGTGAGAAGTGACGAACGCGGAAGCACAGTGGAGAGAGTAAAAAACACCAGTCACGAATTAGAAGTAAAAAACTAGGATTTGTAAAGAAAAATGTTGGAGGATTTTGATATAAGCCAAGAGGAGACTGGTTTTCCTTTGCTAAACAAAGGAAATTTTGCTTCCTTTGCTCCTGTAAACAACCCTTGGTTCTCTCGAGACTAGCATATTCTCACCGGAGCTTACACTACACCTACGTCCTACATCATCCGCTGGAACGCCACTCTCTCGTGTACACGTGTACCAGTTAACGGAAACTAGAGATTATGGTTTATAAAGTTTTAAATATGTTTTTTTTTCTTATAAAATCTCATTGATTCTCTTCAAGAGGCCTTTATTAACCCCCCGGACCCACGTGGGACACTTTTTTTTATGATGGATGGATGCAGTTTACTGGACCTTTATTGGACTATTGAATATCACCCATTCCCTGTCATTATAATGCTTGGAAGAGTCAGGACATTTTTAAATATAACTCTTATTGGATTTGTCTGAAAGAAGAAAGTCATATAGGATGGCTTGAGGGGGTGGGGGGTAAATCATGGGCTAATTTTCATTTTTGGGTGAACTATCCCATTACAGGGGTCATATGATGCTTTTTTAAAGATCATTATTTTGTGTATTTGGTGTAACAGAATATGTTGACATGCTTTAATGTTAAAAAAACACATTATTTTTCAAATACTGTTCATTATTGTAGGTCCTCTATGCCCCGCATCCC